GAGAAAATGTGGTTCATTTACACAATGGAGTGCTACTCAGGGGAAAAAAAAACAACTACATCCTGAAATTCGCAGGCAAATGGATGGAACTAGAGAAACCATGCTGAGTGAGGTAACCCAGTGACAGAAAGACAAACATGGTATGTACTCACTTATAAGTGAATATTAGGCATAGAACAAAGGATTACCAGCCTACAATCCACACAGCCAGAGAAGCTAGGAAACAAGGAGGACCCTAAGAGAGACATGCATGGTCCCCAGAGAAGGAAAAAGGGACAAGATCTCCTGAGCTAATTGGAAGCATGGGGGGAGGAGAAGAGGGAGGGAGGGAGGAGAAAAAGGAATGGAGAATGGGGGGGACAGAACATGAGGGATCAGGAAGATCAAGTTAGGGTAAGAATAGAGAAGGAGAGCAAGAAAAGAGACACCTTAATAGAGGGAGCCACTACGGGTTTAAAGAGAAATCTGGCACTAGGGAAATTCCACGGATCCACAAGGATGGTCCCAACTAAGAATCTAAGCAATAGTGGAGAGGCTACCTTAAATGCCCTTCCCCTATAATGAGATTGATGACTGCCTTAAATGCCACCCTAGAGCCTTCATCCAATTGCTGATGGAAGCAGAAGCAGAGATTCACTGCCAAGCACTGAGCCAAACTCCTGGAATCCAGTTGTAGAGATAAGGAATGATGAGCAAAGGGGTCAAGACCATGCTGGGGAAACCCACAGAAACAGCTGACCTGAAAGCTGGGTAACCAGCATAAGACTGAACCAGGCCCCCTATGTCGGTGCCCATAAGATGGCTGCACTCCATTTTGGCTCAAGGGCAGGGAGGTCAAAACTGTCTCAGCAAGTCATAAGACCTAAAGGTCAAAGGTGTGGCTACAGTAGGATGTTCGATCTTGGCCTTGGCTGTCTTATTCTAAATAACAACAGACCTGGTCTGAGGTGTGGATACTCCTGACCCTCAAGACCAGGTAACAAGATATTGAATCTAAGGTGTGGTTACTGAATCATTGGAGAAAAAGAGGAAGAAAAGTCTCTTTGCTCCATATGCATGATACCATGTTCCCCTTTTTGGTTAAGGTATATAAGAGTGGTGAAAGATACACTCCTGGCAATTCAGTATTAACTGAATCTGTCCTCCTGGCACTATCCTATGTCTCTGTCTTTCCTTTAATGTCTTTGGCTAGCCCTTTCTTTAGTCCATATTCTCCCTCTCAGGTATGAACCTGGGGCTGCTCCGATGGCCCCGACAGCGGCCCTGCAAAGACAGCTCTCCACACCCCTGAATGTGGGTGTAAGTTGGGAGGCCTGGACAGTCTATGGGGCCTCTGGCAGTGGAACCAGTATTTATCCTTAGGGCACAAATGGGCTTTGGGAGCCCATTCCCTATGGAAGGATATGGATAGATATCTCAGCCTAGATACACTGGGGAGGGCCTAGGCCCTGCACCAAATGATGTGTCAGACTTTGAGATCCCTCACAGGAGGCCTCACTGTTATGTTTTTTGTTTAAATTAGATACAAAGAAAAAGAGGAGGTGCAAGATGAGACATATTAACCATTTTACTATAAGGCCCGGCAGAGTAGGGAGACTAAGAGAGAAGAGGAACAGGGGTAATGGCTGACCCACAAGGCCGGTTGCCATAGAGAGAGAGAGAGAAGAGAAGCAGAAGCAAACAGAGAGCGAAGAAGAAACAGAGAGTAGAGAGAGAGCGAAGAAGCAGAGAGAGAGAGAGAGAGAGAGAGAGAGAGAGAGAGCGAAGCAGGGAAGTTGGAACTTTTAAAGGGAAGACTGTGCATGCACTGAGGTTCCACGCATGCCCAGAGTCCTCATGCAGGCCGTCAATGCGTGGCGGGTGATGTGGTGATGGCACGTCCCTGTGCTGTGCGTGCCCTGACTGTTGTCAGGGGGCGGGGTCTGTCTCTTAAAGAGTTAGAGCCGAGGAGCATCAAAGCCTGAACCTTTCACTCCCCCTCCCTGCAGAGTGGATGGGGGATGGGATGGTGGGTGGGTGGGGTATGGGAAAATGGGAGGGAGAGGGAACTGAGATTGGTATGTAAAATAAGATTGTTTTTAGTTTAAATAAACACTTATTTAAAAAGAGTTGTTGTTGCTCTTCTGTAAAAGTTTAAAAATTAGAAAAATAAAAAGAAACTGCGAGATGGAACCCGGTGTGATGGAACAGGAACCGTAGAGCACATTAACCACAGAGTTTTATTACTGGGCGGGAGATGGTAAGAGGGAGATATGGAGAGGGAGAGAGGGAGGGCAAGGGTAAGACTGGAAGGTAAGAGAGAGAGTGTGTGAGAGAGCATGAGAGTGGGAGAGAGAGTAGAGAGAGGGAAAATGTGGAGGCCACGCTTAAAAGGGGAAGCTTGCACATTCGTACTGATTCCTTACACAGCCCCCTTACGTATGACACAGGGCCCTTTTGAGCTGCCTAAGTATCTGCCTTAGTGCTGGGTGCGTGTCCCACCCATTGTCAGGGGGCGGGGTCAGCATACCATGTTCCAACAGTCATGGTCATGGTATCTTTTCACAGGAATAAAACCCAAACCAAACTAGGGAGGCAGAGGCAGGCGGACCTCTGTGAGTTCGAGGCCAGCCTGGTCTCCAGAGTGAGTGCCAGGATAGGCTCCAAAGCTACACAGAGAAACCCTATCTCGAAAAACCAAAAAAATAAAAATAAAAAAAACAACAACAAAAAAACCAAGGGACCGGGTTATTGCTGTGATAGGTCTGACCATGTGTTTGTTTGGAGGAATTTGGACTCTGATGCCTTGGGTTTGGAAAGCAGTGGAATGCTTTAAGCACTCACTGCTTAATAGGCCATACCAGTAGGAGCATGGAAGATGGAGGTGCTGAGTTATTTGGACTGTGGGGGCCTCACTCAAGAGGTTTCAGAGGAGAATTTTAGTATGTTGCCTAGAGATTGTTCTTGTGATAGTTTGGTGAAGAAAGTGGATGCCTTTTGCCCTTGCCTAAGAGTCTGCCTGAGGCTAACATGAAGAATTTTGAATTAATTCTGTTGGCAGAGGAAATGCCATAACAACTTAGTATAGACTTTGTTGTGTGGTTTTTAGTGGTAACTCTAATGAAAATTTATAATGAAAAGGAGGAAGCTGAGCGGGGTAAATTACAAAATGAAAATTTTGAGAAGAAAAAGAGCACCAGGAAGTGTAACAGAGCTAAATCCTGTGCTCAAGGAGAAGAAGTAGAATAAAGGGAGTGGTGACTTTAAGGCAAGATCTCACCCCAGCAAAGTGTGGACTGAAGTTTCTGTCCTGCAACCCAAATAAACATACAGAGGCTTATATTAATTATAAATATTTGGCCTGTTGCTAAGTCTTATTACTAGCTAGCTCTTGCAACTTAAATTAACCCATAATTCTTGTCTATGTTTGGACACACCACTTGGTACCTTTTCTCAGTAAGGCATTTTCATCTTGCTTCCTCTTTGTCTCTGCTTTTCCTCTTCCCAGAATTCTCCTAGTCTGGTAGCCTCACCTACACTTCCTGTGTGGCTACTGGCCAATCAGCATTTTATTGAAACAATATAAGCTGTTTACAGTGAACAAGAGCATCAGCTAAATTTGCAACTTGTGGAAAGAAACTAAAGTGTAGAGGCAGGTGTGGTGGGGCTTTCATCCCAGCACTGAGAAAGCAGAGGCCAGCCTCTCTCTGAGTTTGAGGCCAGCCTGATCTACAAAGCAAGTTTCAGGACAGCCAGACTTAGGCGATGAAGGACAGACAGCTGGGGAAGGTGTCACTGAGCAAGGAGGCCATGTTCCAGCCCCAGAAAACATCAGCACTTGGCGGTTTCAGCCAAGTAGTTCTGGCTTTAGAGTTAGACTAGAAGCAAGGAGGTTACCAGGGAGTGGAACCAGCCCAAGAGAAAGAAGTCGACAAAGATGAAGGAGTTGGAGATCTGAAAAGTGTTTTGACATCAGACTTGGAGCTGCAGAGTTTGGAGTTTGCCCAGCTGGTTTTCAGTCTTGTTTTGGTCCAGAATTTCCTCATTATGCTCCCTTCTCTGCATTTTGGATTTGTAATGCATATCCCGTGCCATTGTATGTTGAAAGTGTGTGATCTGCTTTTTGATTTTGATTTTTGCAGGTGATTAGGTGATTAAAGTTAAGAGGTTGCATGAATCTCAGAAGAGACTTTGAACTTTGGACTTTAAAACATTGTTGAGACTGTGATAGACTATGGGGAGTTTTGAAATTGGACTGAATGCATTTTGCATCATGATATTGTTACAGGCTTATGGGGGCCAGGGAGTGGAATGTGGTAGTTTGAATGTAGTTGGCCCCCATAAGATCACAGGGAGTGGCACAATTAGGAGATGTAGCTTTGTTGGAGTAGGTGTGGCCTTGTTGGAGGAAGTGTGTCACTGTGGGGGTGGGCTTTGAGGTTTCCTAACTTCCTGTCGCCTGTCTATCAAGATGTAGGACTCTCAGCTCCAGCACCATGTCTGCCAGCAGGCTTCCATGCTCCCCACCACGGTGATAATGGATTGACTTCGGAAACTGTAAGCCAGACCCCTCAATTAAATGTTTCCCTTGTAAGAGTTGTCATGGCCATGGTGTATATTCACAGCAATGAAAACCCTAACTAAGACAAATACAGTCTACTTTTATCTCGATAACGACACGAGTTCATCTGTGACAAAGCCAAACTAACTAACTAACAAACAAACCTCCAGCTAATTTTTAATCAGAAAGACCACATTCTCAAAGCTGCTACTGTAAGCATTTTGAAAGCTATTCCTATTTTTTTTTTTTTTTTATTGTAACCATCACTTTATTGTATGGCAGTCACAGGGGTGCCCGCCCCTGGCTATTCCTATTGCTCCTATGGTTTTATGTAGTGGATTTTGGAAACTGGCTCTTGAAGAGTTCATTACATGTAAACTGTGTAGCTGTAGAATTGTTGGATGTATTACCCTCTCTTATGATTTACCAAATATGAGATTTATCGCACCACTAGCAGGCATGTCTTAGCATGTTGTTTTATTTGTTTGAAGAGAAGCCCTGTGAATGGCCTGCTGGAAGCAGCTGGAGAGAGCACAGGCCTGGGATGGTGATGTGCTAACTCCATTCTGTGCCTGTTTCATTCACACTTCCTATAATAAATGTTACTTATGTCACTGGCAAACAGTTCATCGTCTGATTGAAGCAGAGCAGGCCGAGTCCAATATCTGAATTTCTGGGAGATGTCTGTATAAACTAAGAGGTAATGGCAAGAACAAAAACTTAAATTCCAACAATTTGGATACAGTTTGGTCACCATTTTCTGATCAGGGAACACGTATAAAACCAGGGTTATATATTTGACAAGTTGCCTTTTTGAAAACTAATATTTTATTTCCTTTCTCAGTGTGCATCACTGATCATGATGGCCCCATTGCATCCAGGTTTGTGACAGGGGGACTGTAGGGGTTGAGTATTGACAAGCGGCAGGGGGAGGGGTAGGTGTTGTGGAGACATAGTCCACCAAAGTCACAGGTAGAAATGTACTTATCCATAGCCCCAGAGATACAAATTCTGAGGAGTGTGTAAAACTCATCAAATCAAAACTATCCTCCTGAAGCGAGATTCCAAGATTCCTGATGGTAGCAGTCACACTGCTTGTCTTGTTGGTCGGTATCTGAGTGTGTCTTCCAGGTCCTCTCCCGAGGCTGGCCTACACGGGTTCATAAACAGGCCATGGAACATGTGAGTGAGGCACATCAAAGGAGCTGTCTGTTGGTGCATCTCACGGGCTCTGACTCACGAGGACCGGGCTCACATGCCCAGCTCTGGCTCTGGGACTCGCCAGAACCTGTGTGTTCACACCCGTCTCTTCTTTTATGTTCTCTGTGTTCTTTGGCTATAAATCGTTATGATACTTCAATTTGATTGCTTGTGTAACTCTGATGATCCCTGACAAGCCTATGTTTTAGGAGCTTTGACCATGCCAGGTCCGTGCAACGCTGTCCAATTATGACCTTACATCACCCGAGTCTGTCCAGCTGGAATCCTGGTCAGGGGACACCAGTTGTCACCAGCAAAGGCTAAGCAGGGTTAAAAGAAGCCTCCCCACCCCCTGGCACCATCATCCGGCTTGTGTGGTTCGGGGTTTAAAAATCACCTGGAATTCTTTGGAAAAGTTGCTTTCTTTATTCTCTTTAAAAACGAACTGCTTATCTTAGGAAAAGTTGGAATTAATCTGTTGATTGCTTCTATCTACAAAGGCAATGCAATTGCTGGATTTCCTGTGTTCCTCAAAATAATTTGTGTTTTTAATGGCAGATCCTGTCGTGTGCCTGGAACACAGGTGGAGAGACAGTGAAGTTCTAAGTGAACGTGTATTGCTGACATGGACACAGCCATGCCAAGGATCCCCATGCCTCAGCCGCATGAGAGTGGCCAAGTCTGTGCCTAGAAAAACTTCAGTGAGGACACTGAAGTTTTACTTTATAAATGTTCCTGTGTCACACAGTATCATTAATTGTTTGGGTTGCTCAATCAGTTAATCAAGCAAAAGCCTTTCTTAGCAGGCTGTGCTCAAATCGCAGCGAGCTGGATTTAGCTCATGGCCATAGTCTGCTGACTTGTCCTGGGAGAATGAGGAGCCTAGAGAACAAAAACAAAACTAAACGAAACTCTCTCTTGCACATACAGGAAGGGAAACTACGTAGGGAACAGATAGGTTTTAAATTTTTTCTGTCATTTATGTCATTATGAAAGATAAGCTTGTGAGAGCAGAAAAGGATTGACTAAGGGAGGAGAGGCCTGGGGAACCGAGTCAAATGGAAGAAACAGGAGTTGTGGAAGTTTTATGCTTCTCAAGTTCCACCTAGGAACTTCTTTCCAGGTCCCTCTGTAGCTGAGACTGGCCTTGAACCGCTGACTTCCTGCTTTCACTTCCCAAGTGCTGGGATGACAGGAAGGCGGTACTAAGCATGGCTCACAGTTTGTCCTTTAACTAATCTAGACTTCACTTTGTGTGCAGCATTAGTGGGTGTTTCATTGTGTGTCCATTACCGGGGTGAGGGGATCATGGAACCTAAAACTGCACACCACAGGGCTCCAGGCAGAAGTTAAAAGATAGATGTCCTCAGAAAAACCAGGTGGGAATTGAACTAGAAGCGTCTTCCATATTGGCTAGCCAAAAGCTGCCATGCGGGCCCCTGGGGGAGAAAAGTCATCAATGGTTTCCCAACTGGGCAAACCAGGGAAGACCGTCAGACCCACTGGCCCAATAGCGGCAAGAATTGCACCCCAATTGAGACTGGGGTCCACCTCACAGGACGGGACATTCCTGATGCTGTAAACCTCATCCAGAAGCCTATGGCTGGGGAGGTCACAGGGCCTAGGGGAGAAGGTACTACTGATGCTTTGCTAAATGAAAAGAAGCACTTTCTAAACCTTTATGTTTCTATCTATAGACTAATGCTGCTCTCAGCACGGGTCGGAGGAGTTCTTTGTGAGTGTTGTTCTTTTATTTAAATTACTGGCAGGACGGAACAAGAACAAAGAGATTCGTTAACCATGGAGTTTATTAAAGGGGGGGCGAGAGGAGGGCAGAGAGAGGGAGGGCAAAAGGAGAGAGAGCAAGAAAGCGTAAGCGGGCAGGGGTACGGGCTGTCTTTTAAAGGGTCCTTTGCACCAGCGTGCAGACTGTACCCATGGAACCCTGGACTGACCAGGGCACTGCCTGAGTGCAGTCTGCCAGGTGACAGGGACAGGCCAGCATCATGCCTGAGTCCTTACAGTGAGGGCAGCAGTTAATGTGGAGTCTCAGAACAGGCTAAAGTGCTGAGACGAAGTGACTGTTCAGTCCTTAGCCCTAAGCAGGACATGGATGTCACCCCCTCCAAGGCCCAGGGAACATTGCAGGAAACGGGGTAGAACGATTAATTATACAAGCCAGAGGGTAGAAAGGGCGCTGTGAAACACTGGCGTGGCCATCACAAAAGTCAAGTCACGGAAGCTATGGCTACCTGAGCCACAGCAGCAGAAAGAGTGGGGTAGGAGGGGGAGAGTTAAAAAGAAGAAAACCAAAGAGTGGGAGAGGGATGGCGGGGCAATGGTAAATGTGATCACAACAGTCTGCACACACACACACACACACACATACACACATACATACACACACACACATACATACACATACACACATACATACACACATACACACACACACTCACACACACATACATACATACACACATACACACATACACACACATACATACATACACACATACACACACATACATACATACA